CTGGTGAGAGATGATGACTCAGTGAAGGCACTAGGGCTCCTTTTTTATTTTATTTTTGCCTGGTTTCCGAAATTTATTGAAAATCAAAGAATAGAAAAACTTTACATAAAAATATGTCAATTTTAGCTTCCACATTGCTGTACACACACACATACACACACACACACAAAAATTGAAGGATGATATCTTTATGTTAAACCTGCAGCACGTGACCCCCAGTGACCCCAGGGGTAGCCAGGCTGATTTATCCAGTGCACTGTGACGGGGGTGGAGCATGGTGCCTGTGAGCTTTAAAATGTGCAACCAGCCGGGCTGGTGTGACTCCGTGGTTGAGTGTTGGCCCATGAACCAGGAGGTTGTGGTTCGATTCCCCGGTCAGGGCACATGACTGGGTTGTGGGCTTGATCCCCAGTAGGGGCATGCAGGAGGCAACTGTTCAATGATTCTCTTTCATCATTGATGTTTCTCTCTCTCTCCCTCTCTTTTCCTCTTTCTGCAATCAATAAAAGCATATCTTTTTAAAAAAATGTACAGCCACAGGACACTCACCACTGTCCCACAGTGGTCTCCTTACTATAGGGTTACCATCAATATTGCTCACGCACAGAGATTAGAATAGGCCTGCATATCAGCTTTTATAAATATGTCTTCATCAATAGGTTCTAGTTTAAATATTTGAAAATAGTTTTGAAAACTTTTGATCATCAAGACCTGGGGACAAAACATGCCCCTCTTTTCTGGAATGCCTCCTCCAGGCGAGAGCAGCCAGCTGGGGGCCCTGCAGTCACAGCTGGCTGCTCTCGGTGACAGTGGGGCCAGTCCTGTTTCAAAAAGGCAGACCATGGACATTCAGAAGATTGACCTTGCTGCGTATGCATCACAGGTCTCACCCTAGAAATAGACAGACAGCTGGGGTGGCTGGTTGGACGTATTGAAAGACAGAGAGGAAGGAATCCAAAGAAGATTCTGAGGTAGGATCAACAGCCTCTGGTGAATGATTGGATGGGTTAAAAGACTGAGCGGGAGGAATCAAAAAAGTGACTGAAGTTTCTCATGTGGTGTTTGGGTGGTGCCATTCACAGGAAATGTGGAAGAATGCGGCATCTGCAGAGCTGCATTCCTGCTCCGTGAAAAGAGGAGTGGGCCTTTTACTTCAGTACTTGTTTTATCTCCGTAATACTCTTCCCACAGCTTCATCCAGCTGTGATTTCAAATTCACGTTCTGGGATAAGGATCCCAATGGCTGTGGTTGCCTTGAGCCTGTGGAGTGAAAACAGGTGTCTGTAGTGAATGCAGACAGCAATGGGGGAGAGAGCTGATCCCTGGACCAGGCTTGGGGTCCAGGCACAGGGAGGTGGCCGATCGGCCACGGATGCCCTCGTGGTGGCTCTGGCCTGCTCACCACCGCTGCAGGCTGTTCTTTCTGCTTCGCTGAAGCACAGCCTTCATAGTTTTAATAGTTTTTTAAGGCCAGTGGAAGGGATTGGACTTTTCATGATGCTTCAACTTCTCAAGTGCATGACTAATACTTGAAGGAATTAAGAGACTTCTTTATTTTTAATTGCATCTACTTGTTTGGTATGTGGCTCAATTAATTCATTCTTGTTGTGAATGTATTGGAAGACCCTGTACCCTCTTGACCTCTCCTTATAATTATGACTATCATCCTGCTTTGAATCACTGTTTTGATTACACACTTTAAAGGAACTTCTAAAACACCCTCTCATCGCTACGTGGCTGAAATGCCCACCGCTTGGACTCAAGGACAGTCATCTCAGAGTGGTTCTTATCCCCAGCAGGTCAATGGCCTCTCATTTCACCTTCCTTTCCCCCCGCAATCTGCCCCTTCCCCTTTAGAAGTTTCCATTCACATATTCCAACTTTAATAAGACTAGCTCTTGTTTCTGAGGCCCAAAGAGCAATGTTTTAACAAACACAACTCAACCAATCAATTGCTGGCAGATGCCTCACAGCAAACGTTATTGCAATCTCACCATCATTCCATCACTCCCCACCCCCCACTCCTCCCTTTCCAAACATACACAGGATTTGTTTCTCCTTTCCTTAGATTATACTATCTGGCAAGTCTGCAGTCAAATAAAAATTGATCCAGTCACAGTTTTAACTAAATTGCATGAAATAAAGTTCTTTGTTCTGAAGTTGTCTCTGACTGGTGGCCTGAGAATTTCATCTGCTTGCATCTTATGAAAAGTCTTTCCACTGTGTAATTGTCACCACGTGGTGCCTGGCTTTATAAAGCAGCACTGTGCTTGAAGAAGATTCATAGTAATTTACTGAGGTAAAGGGCATGATAATAACCCAGTAAATTATTTGTCTTCTTCAAAGTAAGGCCTAAAGGCCTTTTAGTGACCAAGCACCCTCTTCCATCTTTTTGGTACTTTCTCTGTCACCTGTCTTCTTATCTATATATATAAAAGCCTAAGTGACCATTTGACTGCTCAATCACTCTACTGGTAGCTATGATGCTCACTGACCATCCGGGGGCATATGCTCAACACAGGAGCTGCTCCCTGGTAGTCAGTGCGCTCCCACAGTGGGAGCGCCGCTCAGCTGACCAATGGGCACCAGATGCCGGGCTCATGGCTGGTGAGCACAGCTGCGGTGGCAGTGCGAGTTTCTCCCACAGATACTCCCCCTTTGTGCCCCTCCCCCATCCGGACCAGGACTGGGACCAGGATCAGGACCAGCAGCGGGACTGACTGGGCGCAAGCCCACTGCCACTTCTCGGTCATGGCACACTGGTATTGCCCCAGGATGGGCGTGTGGAGACCACAGCGAGCCTACCGAGCGGTGGCGGTGGCAGGTGCAGGGGGCCAGGATGAGCAGGAGCGGCATGGCGCCTGCCCAAGCTCAGGCTCCTCCCCAGCCGCCTGCTGCTTCGTGCACTACTACAACCCTCAGAGCATATAGGACTGCCAGTTTTGGCTGATCCCTACAGGCCAGGCTGAGGGACCCCACTGGTACATGAATCCGTGCCCCAGGCCTCTAGTCTACACTAATAAAAGATAAAGATGCTAATTGACCGTACCTTCGCTACGCCCACCAGCCAATCAGAGTGACTATATGCAAATTAACCCAACCAAGATGGCGGTTAATTTGCATATACCGGCTGGGAGCAAAGACTGAAGACAATGTAGAAGGAAGCCAAGCGCTGCAGAAGGGAGCAAAGTGGAGGCGGTGGAGACAGGAACGGAGCCAAGGCGGCAGAGGCGGGAGGCGGGAGCAGAGCCAGGGCACAGCAGCCAGCTGGGGTGCAGCGGGTGGCAGGGGTGGTGGCGGGCGGCAGGAGACGGGAGGCAGCAGGCTGCGGGGGAAGGAGGCAGAGGCGGGAGGCGGGGGGAGGAGATGGAGGCGGGAGACGGGAGGCAGCGGGAGGCAGGAGCGAAGCCCTATTTTTGCAGGAATCTTCCTGCAATGGGCCTCTAGTATTATTATAAAAGGACTAGAGGCCCGGTGCATGAGATTCATGTACTTGGGAAGGGGGGCTCCCTCAGCCCGGCCTGCACCCTCTCACAGTTCGGGAGCCCTTGGGGGAAGTCTGACTGATGGCTAAACCCACTCCCTGCAGGGAGTAGGCCTAAGCCGGCAGTTAGACATCGTTAGTGCTGCTGTGGAGGCAGGAGAGGCTCCCGCCACCACCGCTGCACTCGCCAGCCGTGAGCCCGGCTTCTGGCTGAGTGGTGCTCCCCCTGTGGGAGTACACTGACCACTAGGGGGCAGCTCTTGTGTTGAGCATCTGCCCCCTGGTGATCAGTGCACATCACAGCGACCGGTCGTTCTGCCGTTCGGTCGATTTGCATATTAGTCTTTTATTATATAGGATAATCTGTTAGAGTTCAGTGAGAAGAAACAAGTTTGAGAAAATTCAAGGTAATCCTATGGATGATGATGAGAAAATAAAATTTTTTTAAGTTGACAAAGAACGTATTAGCATCCACTTATTTCATTTATGGCTATGAATTATGTACAGATAACTTGTGGCACTCACCGTTTTCCGAATGTAATGAAACCCTGGGATAAATTCAGGTTGTGCAATCTTGCACTAGGGAGTTTTTTGTGGAAGAGTGTTTTAGTGTGTTTATGCTATTATAACAAAATACCACTGACTGGGCAGCTTATAAACAACCTAAAGGTATTTCTCACAGTTCTGGAGGCTGGACGCCTAAGGTCAGGGTGCGAGTGTGGGCGTGTGACCTCTTTTGGATTTCAGGTATTTTTACTGTGTCCTCACAGGGTGGGAAGAGTGAGGGAACTCTGTGGGGCTTCTTTTATAAGAGCACTAATCCACCCTCATGACCTAAGCACCTCTAGGAAGCCCACCTCCTGATACCATCACTTTAAGGATTAGGATTTCAATATATGAATGTGGGGGAGGGGCACAAACATTCAGACCACAGCAAGCAGCTTGCAGTTGTCATCACTGATTCTCTGTAGCATAACTTCCACATTAAAGACTTTGTGTAACCCTTTTGGACATAGGAGAAAACTTTTCCCCATACAGGGCAGTGAAAGTGTATTTCCTCTCAAGGGATCGAACCATTTGTTTTCGCATCAGAATCTGAGATTCAGCATTCTTGATTTACTTACTACCTTGTAGCAAAAGTTGACATTTCTGGAATTTTAAGGAGCAACTCAACCATTGACTCATTCCACAGGTTTTTATTGAGTACTGACTGTACAGTGGACACAGTGCTAAACCATGCTACCCACCTACTAGAAGGTTGGGTTGGCTGGCCTTTAGTGATGAAAGCGAGAAAACACCAGAGACTTGACTAAAATTTGGATTCATTCGCCACCACAACGTTGAAGAATAGCCTTCTCAGAGACAGCAAATGAGCATGAAAACCAGAGGTTACTGGGACTTCTTTTTAGTTACCAGCCACATTCGTCGAAGGAAGCCTCTGCTTAACTCCTGAATGTTGACTAAACTGAAATTCGTTCATGTTGCCTTGTTTATTTCTCATGTTCTTTTGGTGCAGAGACAGAAAAGCTTGTACTAGAGGCAGGCAACGGATTGCCATCCTGGAAATTCAATGACCAGCTTTTCCCCTGCGATGTGTGTGGGAAAGTCTTTGGCCGACAGCAGACATTGTCCCGACATCTCTCGCTGCACACAGGTGAGTCGGCCTCACTGCTGTGCCTTCCCGGGTCTGGATCACCAGCGTCTCCATTACCAAGAAGCTGAGTTGCTCTAAGAGAATTATTACAGGAAGTGATGGGAGTGTCTTATCATGACCTCCTCAAGCCATTTAACTGGCATGTTCAAATAAGGCCCCAGACAGGGTTTCTTATTTGTATTGAAAGGATTCATAGAGTTCAAGTAGGATTGATGAGAAAAGATGCACATTTAAGCATATAGTTGGGTAAAATTCCTCAACTCCAAGGAATTTATTGATCTTGTTGGCACAGGGGATGGAGCTGTATCCCATCTTATTGGGCTCATCTTATTGTGGGTGAGAACAGTAAGGACACGTTGGTGGAGGAACAGTTACTGTCCTTATTTATATACTAGAGGCCCGATGCACCAAGATTCGTGCAAGAATAGGCCTTCCTCCCCCCGGCTGCTTCGCTCCAGCCACCGCTGCCACCCACCGGGGGCATGCTCCAAGCCCGCCTCGGCCGCTCAGAGCACACCCCCACCCCTGGTGTGTGTCCGCTGGGGCTGGGGGCGGCACGCAGTCCCCTCCCGCCCATCTGTGCGCAACTCCTCCTGAGCAGTGGTGATGCAGCCTCTTCCTGAGCCAGTCGTGATGCCCAGCTAATTTGCATATTACCGTTATATATATTAGTAAAGAAATATGGTTGATTCTGTGTACTTGGAAAAGGAAAGCAACCAAGTTCAGGAGTAAAGGAGGAATACATATTAACTTAATCAACGCAGCAAAAATAAGTGAAGACAAAAAGAAATACAGTAGAATCTATTGTAAACATAAAGCAAGGTAGAAATAATAAAATGAAGTTTTCCATTTTTACACCCAAGATCAGACTTTTTAAATAGTTCAGATGTATTTTATTTATAGGAAATGACAAAGAAAATAAGTAGAGATTTTCCATATTACATGAAATCATAAAGAAGGCAGGATAGGCAGTATTAATATGACTATATATATATATATATATTCACTAGACAAGATTTAGTCATATACTTAAGCCCAAAGAAAACTTTAACATGTTCAGAAAAGTGGAGTTTTATAGGTCACATGCTCTGCTCATACTTAAATGAAATTTAAAATAACCAAAGGTCAATAAAATGTCCTAGCTAACCAGGTCAAAGAAAAGGAAGAAAATCAAAACTCAAATTATAGACATCTAGAAGAAATGAAAAGGGGAACACTTCATTCCTAGGCCTGGAACAAACAGCTTCAGCTCTGTTCAGAGGACAATTCATAGGCTTGAATGTTCTAATTAGAAGAGAAGAAACACAGAAAGTAACTTAGCATCTTAAAGAACTAGTAAAAGAGCCTTAGCCGGTTTGGCTCAGTGGATAGAGCATTGGCCTGCAGAGTGAAGGGTCCTGGGTTTGAATCCAGTCAAGGGCACATACCTCAGTTGCAGGCTTCTACCTGGCCCAGGCCCTGGTCAGGGTGTGTGCAAGAGGCAACCAATTGATACTTCTCGCTGTCTTTCCCTCTCTCTTCCACTCTCTCTAAAAATCAATGGAAAAATATCCTCGGATGAGGTTTAAAAAAAAAACTGATAAAAGAAAAACAAAATCTAGGAAGAAAAAGACCACAAAAAGAGATTAATTTCTTTAACCCTGATTAAGAAAGGAAAAGGAAGCAAAAATATTCAAAATATTTTTTGGAATAGGAATGGAAAAGGAAGCCTAATCATTAATGCTATTAAAGTATTTTTGGAGAATAAGGGCAACTCTATGACAAAAAGAAAAGAACAGCTAAAAACTTAGATGACATAGCTAATTTAAGCAAAATTTCCAAAATTGACCCCAGGAGAGTAAACAAACCTTAAGTAAATCAGTTATCAAAGGGAAATTTGGAAAGATGATGAAGGAGATAATATTATTGATAAAGGTGTCAGGTCCAGATGGCTTCTTTTTAACCTTTTGAGAGTAGGAAAGTCCAGTATTATTAAACCTTTCCAAATGATAGAAAAAGATAGAAAGTTCAGCAATTCACTTTAATACCAAAATTAACAACCTTGCTTATTAATACAAATGCAAAAATTCCAGAGAGGACTCTCTCTTATCTGCACCTCAGGGCCCCGTTCCCTGGCCCCGCTGAGCCCAGGCCACCAGCCCCTCCAATGTTGGGGGCCACCTATAATTACAGCCATGCCTTACATGTTGTTGTGGGAAAACTTGTCTGTGTCCTTCCCTGGGAGGCAGACAAGGCCAGCTCGGTCTCACAGAGGAAGAGCGCTAAGGACAGACAGTGAAGTAGCGCTTGTCTTCTGCTGCCCTCCGTTGCCTCTATCTGCACAGTGAAAGCAGGGGCTGCTCCTTTTACGTAATTTGCTTGATTCACCAAATGTATTCAGACGGCCACGCTGGAAACAGTCCTGAAACACTGTCGGTGCTAGGAGAGAGTTACCATTAAGAAAGTAATTGAAAAATTTTATTTTATTTATGTAAAATGTAAATTTCCAATTCAATTATTTCACATGAGTCATTTTTTATTCCTTTAATTTCATTAGTTTTTTATTTCTTGGCTGACCCAGGCCTGGAGCTTCTTTTACTCACCAGTTCTGCGAACATGGTTTCACTCCTCCTTCCCTGGCTTAGCTCCCACCCACACCTGACAGGTGGGAGGCATGTGTGCACACACTCACACGCACACTCACACGCTCACATGCACACTCACACACTCATGCACACGCACACACTCAAACACGCACTCACACGCATTCTCACCACACATTCTCATGCACACTCACACACACTCTCACACACTCACCACACACTCTCATGCACACACACACACACGCACACTCACACACACTCACCACACACTCTCATGCACACACACACACACACACACACACTCACACCACACACTCACACACACACACACACACACACATGCACTAATATGCTTTTAGCTCACCTTACTTAGCTTGTGGGTGTCCAGAAAAAAGTAGATGATCCAATTGCCTGGGGACTTTCTTTTATCTTTGGACGTATTAATACAGGAGTGACCTGCTGGGTAAAGACTTTTTAAAGACAATTCCAAGGTGTCCCCACTTGAAATGAGACTTGAACCCCCCCCCCTTCCTTGATACCCTTAAGTGGTCTCTTGCAAGGTGTTGGGATTTCATTTCTCAGATAAGCTGGGGGTTTTCCTGCTCTTTCTCCTCCAGAGGAAAGAAAATACAAATGCCACTTGTGCCCCTACGCTGCTAAGTGCCGCGCGAACCTAAACCAGCACCTGACCGTCCACTCGGTGAAGCTGGTGAGTACGGACACTGAGGACATTGTCAGCGCCGTCACCTCTGAAGGCAGTGATGGGAGGAAGCACCCTTATTACTACAGGTGAGCTGGGGCTGGAACCCTAGTCCAGCCTTCCCACCCTCCCTGCCGTCTGCGAGGCAGACCTGACAGGCACCTCTGCTCAGCAGACGCACTGGCCTGCATGGTCAGAGTTGCTTTGCTTAGACAAGCCCCTACAGTTGCAATGACTCCCCCTGGCATGGTGCCCTGGCGGAATGAATTGAAAGGGAAACGGTCTGAGAGGTGGCTCTGGGGGCGGGGGGCAGGGGGGTGAGCTCCAGAGAGCGGCAGGGCTCTGGGGATTATTAGCTTCCAGGGCTGGGCAGCTGGCAAGCTTCTGCCCTAGTAACTGAGCACCTTGCTGCTCCCTGAGAAGTGTCCGAAGGAAAACAGACTAGGAAACATAAACCCAAGAACCCTGAGGACGTAGCCGTGAAGGCATAGCTTCTTTTCCTCGAGTCGTGTTTTGTCCTTTAGTGGCTGGAATTTTATGGTTTTCTCTGGTTCTGGCCCTAAATCAGTATTTGGTTTGGGTGCCATAAAACCCCAAGGCTTTCTATCAAATCTTGCCCACGAGAGAGGCTGTAGGGATTGGTAGAAACTTGCTTTTGTATGAAATGTCTCCATGGATGGGTGGCTTCTATCGGGAATTGTCACAGGCAGGAGTGCCGTCCGAAGGCCTGCGTGCTCTCACTGCTACCCGGGAGGTTTCTGGAGGCAGAGGGAGGCTCACAGAGTGCAGGGCGCTCCACGCCGTTCCGCGTACCAACCGCACTCAAGTCTTGGCAAGGCTGTGCTGCATCCCTTTGCCCCAAGGAATCGCAAGGAGACATGCAGCATCTGGAATCCGGAAACTTTAATTAACTCTCTGATTATTTAGCATCACTATAGCATGTATGGGATCGTGACATTATTCGGCACTAAATCCATTTAGCACAGCGACCACTTCAGAGGCATCCGAGAAAGCAGAAGAATTTCCTAACGCAAACTGTTCGGTGGGGAGGGCAGTGTGTACACGCCCGTCTTCTGGGTGTACTGGGTGTACTGGGCGTGAGTGGGTAGCCTGCATTTAGAATATCACTCCTCTCTCCCCCTCTTTTCCTTCGTCCTCTCATGTAGCTGCCATGTGTGTGGATTTGAGACCGAGCTCAACGTCCAGTTTGTCAGCCACATGTCCCTCCACGTGGACAAGGAGCAGTGGATGTTCTCCATCTGCTGCACTGCCTGCGACTTCGTCACCATGGAGGAGGCAGAGATAAAGGCTCACATTGGCACCAAGCACACAGGTGACCATTCCCATCGGTCCTTCTCTCCTCCATCCCCTGCCACCCCAGACTGCCTGCCCACCTGGCAGAAGCATCCTCATCACCATGTGACACTGGCATCTCCTTCCTCAGAAGGAAGAACGTACCCCGGGGTAGCAGAGCCACACTTCCCTGGGGCCACAGCGCCATGGCCAGGCACGGCTCATGCACCGGCTGATCTGAAACATTCACAGGTTGGGACGGTTGAGAGGGGCTGAGCTGTCTGCTTACCATCATCATCCAGTAACAGCCATTACGCTTTCCCTATGCCCCAGGCTTGCACCTTTGCACGCTGGGACCCATATAAGCCTCCTAACGACCCCCTAAGGCCCATACTACTGTTATCATACTATAGAGCAAGGGTCCTCAAACTACGGCCCGCGGGCCACATGCAAATACAAATATTGTATTTGTTCCCGTTTTGTTTTTTTACTTCAAAATAAGATATGTGCAGTGTGCATAGGAATTTGTTCATAGTTTTTTTTAAAACTATAGTCCGGCCCTCCAACGGTCTGAGGGACAGTGAACTGGCCCCCTGTTTAAAAAGTTTGAGGAGCCCTGCTATAGAGGCTTGAGAGCTGAGGCTTCACAGAGGGGAGGTATTCTGTCCAAGGTCAACCTTAGGATGTGACTTCAGAAACTCAGACCAGAACAGTTATCATTCTAGAACCTTCTTTCTGAGTCGCTGCCATTCTGGCAGCCCCACCCAAACCTTGGCCAAGGCTGGACCTCTGTTTTGCTGGGCCAGGCACCACGCACCTGCCTCTGCAGGCTCTGCTCCTCGCGTGACGCTGCAGCCCTGACACGCTCCGTGATGCTGCGTGGCCCATCTGTCCAGGGGCAAAGACCAGATGCTCCTGAGTCAATCCGGTCTCTCCCCGGGCCGCGGCCACGCCTTTGCCAGTGCTCGCCTTTCATTTCAGACTCTTGCCATTCTGGTTAACTTCTTCTATTTAATGAAGTTAACATTTTGACTTTGCCATGCAATTATCCTCTTGCAAGGGATGGTTACAAATGACACTGGCGAGGAGTCATTATGTGAGAATGAGGAAGAGCTCCCTGCGTTTGCTACAAATTACAAGCTGGGGTTGCTGACTGCAGGCCCGGGTGCTGGACCGGCCCCTCACATCATTGGCACTTGAAGGATTCGGGAAGGGAAATTTCCCTGACATTTGTGCTGACGATGTGCATGGCCAAGAAGGATCCCTCTGTGCTTTCCTGGCCGCTCTGGCTCCGTGGTGCCAACAGCAATAAAAGCTTGTTTTTGTCAGTAAGTTGAGCAGCTCTGACTTGGAGGTCTGCAGAGAGCTGTTCTGCTGAGTGGGAAGGTGCCATTTTTACAGTCGGTTGTCTGACCATAACCACATTAGCACCGTGGGCAGGTGAGCTGGGAAACCCACGTCGAAGACAAATTAAATCCAGCATTTCTGGAGTGGCTATTGGAGGGAAAGCCAGCCTGTCTCCGGTTTCCACGGGCTCTTCAGATACTCTCTTTTCTATTATCCTCCCATTCTTCTAGCCTTCTCCGCCCCATAGTATGCCTAAACCCAGCCCAGAACCTCCCTCCACTGCCCCCATCCCACCTGAAGAAGACCATAGAAACCACAATGGCAGGAAGGGAGTTGGACTTCAAATCCCTAATTTTGTGAGTCCTATTCTTTAATTTGATTTACCTGTCACAGGAACAGGCACCTTTTATTCTAGTGCCCTAGGGGATCTGCGATGCCATCTGGTTACCTAAATGAACTTGTGATGAGCTTTAATCAACAGAACATTTTTAATTGGTCACCCACAGAACCCACGTGCTTTCTCACACTTTGTTACTGGCTACTCTTAGCCAAGGTACGCTTGGGATTGGGGTGTTTCTGCAGTGACCCCTCCTTACTCTCTTTCTCCCTCTCTCCCTCGCTGCAGAGAACATCAGCAAGGGGAAAATATTCCTTCTGGTTCTGTGACATCCTCAATGCAAATTTTGCTGCAATTTTTCAAAGTTGTGATAATGGTGGTGAGGAATTTGAATAGCTATTTGGAAAATACAGCCATCAATATTTACCTCACACTGACACCAAAATAACCTACACAATCCTTGTTTACTATCTGTCCTAGAAAGGCTTGAGGAAAATAGAATAGAATATTCATCAAACACAGCAAGGGAGATTTGTAAATGCTTAATGGATAACAAGAAATCACAAAGGAAAAGAATCAAGAGATTGGACACACACAAAAATTTTTTTTTGCAAAAGAAAGGAAGAAGAGAAGGGGGAAAAACCCACATTCTGAAAATGTGTTTGTAAAAATGACAAAAAGCTCATGTATTTATATAGAAAGTTCATAGAAATGGAGAAGAAACACTTTTGGTCTCTAAGAATTTGGAAAGAATGTGAACAGTCAATGCACAGTAAAAAAAAATAAAATAAAAGCTAATTGCTTAACATAAGGGAAAATGTTCAACCTCACTGAGCAGTCAAAGTAAAGCTCAAGAGTGGCTTATCTTAACCTGTTAAGTTAGGAGCACATTTTATAGTGTCACCCACTGTTGCTGGGTGCTGCTGGTACTCTTGTGTCTATGGCCCTGCAAAGGAATAGAACTTAGGGATACTATTTGGGTAATATATAGTAAGAGGCTTGAAAATGTAATGCTCTGTGACCCAGTAATCCCACTTCTGGGAATTTATCTGTAGGGAAAAAAATCAACCAGCAAAATATTAATTTTAACTTAAAATTTAATTTTAAGGAAGTATTTAAGTAGAGTAGGATAAGTCCATTCCTTGGATCTGCAGTACAGTTTCCTTATATTTTCCACCTTAACATAAAACTATGAGGTTGCATTGAATTAGTTTGGGGAGAGTTGACATCTTAATATCGAGTCTCCTGAACCATGAATATTATGTGCCTCCAGTTATTTGGATTTATAAGTACATCTTTAATTTATCACAGTGTACCATACCACTTCACATGTAGTATTAGACCTCACAATAGCATTCTTCCATTTCTCTCGCCACCAGCTGTTATGTTATTGTTCATATATATCTATATGTAGATATAGATATAGATATAGATATATGTGTGTATGTTATAAATATTACATTATTAATGGTTTTTTAAACAAAATTAGTTTTATTACTTTTAAAAGAGATTTAAATAAGAAAAACTCACATATTTACCCATGTAGTTGTCATTCCTGGTGCTCTCCATTCTTTTGTGTAGATCCATTTTTGCATTAGTGTAATTTCCCTTCTGCCTGAATAATTTATTTTAACATTTCTTGTAATTCAGGTCTACAGGTAATGAATTCTTTCAGCTTTTATATATCTTTTTTTCTTTTGCCTTTGCTTGTGAAATATGTTTTCATACTTTAAAGATGTTGTTCCACTACTTCACACTTGCATTGTGTCCAGTGAGAAATCTGCTGTCATCCTTTTTTTGTTCCTCTGCACATGTGTCCTTTTTCGTCTGGCCGCTTTTAGGACTTCTTATTTATCACTGGTTTTGAGCAATTTGATTATGATGTCCCTTGTATAGATTTCAACATCTTTCTTAAGCTTGGGACTCATTGCATTTCTTTTATCAATGGGTGTATGGTGTTCCTCAAATTTGGAAAGTTTTTGTCTTTTTCAAGTATATTTTCCTGCCCTCCCCACCCCATCATGAACTCCAATTAAGCTTATACTAAGCTGCCTGAAGGCATCCCATAGTTCACTGGGTGCTCTATTTATTTTTGTGATTCTTTTCTCTCTCTGTTTCATCTCAGATAATTTCTCCATTCAGGTTCACAAATCTTTTCTTTACTGTGTCTAAATTATTAGTGGTCCCATCCAGTGTATTTTTCATCTCAGACATTGTAATTTTCATCTCTAGAAATTTGATTTGGGTATTTTTATTTATTTATTTTTGTATCTTCCATCTCTCTACTTAACTTTTTTAACATACGGAATACAATTATATTACTGTTCTTATGTCCTTGTCTGCAAATTCCAATAACTGGATCAGTTTTCATTGGTTGATATTCTCCCCTTTGGGTTGTGTTTTGTTTCTCTGCATGCCTGAGAATCTTTATTTGAGTGTCCGACATTGTGATTTTACCTTATTAGGTGCCGGATACTTTATATTCCTATAAATATTCTTGAAACTTTGATCCTCTTGGGTCTTGCTTTTATGACTTGTCAGACGGGTCTGGAGCAGTGCTCCATCTAGGGCTAATTATTGCCCACTACTAAAAGAACTTCCTGTTTTCTACCCAATGCCTTAGGAATTACAAGTTTTTTCCAATCTGGCTGGTGGAAACAGGCACTGTTCTCCAAGCCTTTCAGATGGCTTATTTTCCCTCCAACACATGCTCCGGTCCATACTCTGCGGAATACTCACGGGAGACCATCTGCAGGTCTCTGAGTTCTTTCCCTCTAGTACTCTGTCCCTTAAGGTCCAGCCATGTTGATCTCCCACACCATCAGTCTTATCTCCTCAAATCAGCAGGTCAACTGGGCTCCACCTCCATACCCCTCCCTACACTGCAGTCTGGAAGGTCTTTCCTGCCTCTCAGGGGTCATTCCTCATTGCCTGGTGTCCAATATTGTGAAAACTATTGTTTGATATATTTTGTCTGTCTTTTTGTTAGTTGTTTCCGTAGCGATGATAAATTCCGTCTCTTGAATGGAAGCAGAAGTCTACTGACACTAGATTTTAATGACCTATTGACTGTTTACTGCTGGCTTTGAGGGAGAATTCAGTGCACTGATGAAGAACATGGATGCTAGAATCAGACCAATTGACTAACCTCACTGTCCCTCCCCACCCTCATCTGTAAAATGGGGGTGATAATAGTTGTGCCTCAGCAGTTATTTTAGAATGAAATGAGACAAAGCATTTAAAGCTTGACCCAGTTTCTGGAACTTGGCAACACTTTCAGTACATCTTAGCTACTATTGTCATTTTATTTTAATTCTAGTAAGACATCCATAAACCCTCATCAAATGAATGAGGGCCTGCTCTTGGCCCCAAGTACCATGAGTGTCATCACCAGAGGTTCTGCGACCTGGGACCCCAGCAGGTGCACTAGAGGGGCTGGAGACCCAACCTCACACCTCCCAACTGCTGGTATTCTAGGGTTCCCATCTCCTAAATAACAGACTTGGGTTTTTTTCTTTTTTAGTGGAAGACAGGAAGACCCCAAGTGAATCAAACAGCCCCTCATCATCCTCCCTCTCAGCTCTGAGCGATTCAGCTAACAGCAAAGATGACTCCGACAGCTCCCAGAAAAACAAGAGCGGGAACAACCTGCTGGTCATCTCTGTTGTGCCCGGGAGCCAACCCTCACTGAATAGTGAGGAAAAGCCAGAGAAAGGTAAGGGAGGAGGTGGCGTGGCCTGCTCAGCCCTCCCCACGCTGGAGGCAGGACGCCTTGTCAGGAGTGATGTTGGAAGTAGATATTGGGTCCCAGAACATTCCTTTTGCTTGCTTTGCACCCAGCATGGGGTGGAAAGATGGGGAGTGTGACATTGACTCCAAAGCTGTAACTTCTTTTAGCACAGAGATGCAGGGAACAGCGTCCGGAAGGGTATAAACTGGGGGGAGGGGTGAAGAAAGGGGATCTCGGCCCTGCTCCTGCCCTCCTGTCCCTCTACCCCACGCACCTGTACACCCAGCTTCGGTCCTTCCAGGGTTCGAATGCGTTTTTTGCAACTTTGTCTGCAAGACGAAGAACATGTTTGAGCGCCATCTGCAGATACACCTCATCACCCGGATGTTTGAGTGTGACGTGTGCCACAAGTTCATGAAGACCCCCGAACAGCTGCTGGAGCATAAGAAATGCCACACTGTCCCCACCGGTGGGCTCAAGTAAGGAAAGCAAGTACAGAACCTTTTACTGTGTTGTTATTAAACACCCTTCCCCCACCCTTATCCCGGCCCCTCCTCTGAAGATTTTGGGGTCATGGAGAGGGAGAGCTTGGCATGAGGGGAGTTAGGCAGGCACCTCTGCTGCCTTCAGCTGGAGGTGAATTAGACCTGTCCCCAAGGGGGTCAGCAGACATCAGCAGGAGAATCCATTGTACAAATAGCCCGGGATTCGGAGCAAGCAGGAAGGCATGTTGGAGCACCTGAGCACGCAGGGGTAGACTCATCCCACACTGCCTGGGTTTTGTTCAGACTTGATGGTAATGGACTTGGGTTAGCGTCCCCAAGTGTAAAGCATTACACTGTCTGCACTTCACCATCTCTGTTTTTTAGGTGATTTGCCATGTATCTTTTAAATAAGTATTACAACCACTGCATCCACACCCCACCCCAAATAATGGAACCTTGCGGGTTTGAACAGGCAGGAGGCAGCATTTTCCACACAAGGCCCATGTGCCTCTCAGGTCCCTGCAGACATGCCTTATGACTTCCTGGGAACTGGAAGTGGGATTCCCTGCCTGAGAGCTGATGTTTTCTGTCACGTAGTCATAGATTCCTCCCACCAGAGACCTAGGCAGTTAGCATCATCAACCAATATTTGCAGGAGGCCCTCGGTCTGAAGCGAGACTAATCAGTCATTATCCAGTGTACGGTGCGTCTGGCTTGATTAGGTGCTAGAGGGCAAATAAGGAATAAAACCTAATTTCCACCCTCAGGAAGTGTATGTCCTACCGTGACCAGAATTTCATCTTCCCGAGAGTCAGTACTCAGGTCCCTGTTCACAAGGCACTTATGGTCTAGGAAAGAGGAAGAAGCTTATGTCATTGGGCACAGAAAGACACACAGTTTTTGAGGCAGAATTGTTCATGTTTAGCTGAAATGATCATGTAATTTCAATGAATGAAAAATTACATTTTACTTAATACAAGGGAGGAAAAAACCTTGTCTTTAAACATTTTGGCCTTTGAAACTCACAACTTGCCGGAGGGGTGGCATGACTCTCCCCATTGGGCGTGGGATGGAGAGACCCAGGACCCTGGGAGTCGAGTGTTGGGGGGGCAGCACAGGCTTGTCTTCCCCCCACCCCCGCACCTACCTGATCAGGGGGACTCTCCTCAAAATCCTGCCCAAACAGCAGAGTCAGGGAGCAACACCTACTGTGGATTTCCATTTTGTTTCAGTCTTGGGGGTGCTTAGG